ACAGCCAATTGGAGCTGCATTTTTATTTTCAGTCAAAGCGGCGATGTTAAGTTCAATCAAACTGGCGATATTCAAATATAAAGTTCAAGATATATTTACAAACAACCAAACAAATAAACCGGATAAACCATTGTTAAAGTAAATGTCACCGAAAACCATATTTCTACCAATTTGGAACGATCACCAAACATCCTGTTCATTTGGTACAATTTGGCACAAAGTAAATGCCACGACACCCACCAAATGGATTCGACAAACGAATTATATTTTGACAAGTTTGACCTGACGACAACCGAACAAAATATAAGCCTTCAGAAATTACCATTTTAAACAACTTCATGAATAGCGAAGAATTTCAAAATCTAGTGCACTCAATTCAGAATTCAGAATTATTGTCGGAAATTCCCTACAACATTGATCTAATCGTTTTTGGCGAACCCCATCTGAATTACTCAGGTGAAGTTCACTCAGTGTACTCTTGTGAAGATCATTTAATCCTGATTATCATTGCCTACTCAGTGGGTGATTCGCGTATGATAGTTACTTGCCGATTCAATACGATCTCAGAATTCGAAAACATCAACTTTGAATTACAGACAAACGCCTTCCTGGGACTCCAAAACACCAACTACTCAATAGTTTATGAAACATCATCCTGGCTGTAAGTCTACGTCAATAGTCATGATCGAAGCCACCACCCTCATTGTTCTTGTATTTCTTGCCAACACATCTTATGCGAGCGAATATGAAGATGCTTTGAAGACGGGAATAATTTTTCATAAAGATAGTCAGATCTTACTAGCCGAAAAGTTTATCAACGCAGAATTCCTAGTTCCATTCCCAAGTTACAATTTCACGATCCAAGATAATGTAACGCAACTTCTTTCCATCTTGTCAACGAAATGGAAATCCAAATCAACAGATTGTAAACTCAGTTTCGCGAAGACATTCAACGCCAGTGTTGATTCTTTCAATGTCGACTGGATGCTCCGAAAGCTCCAGGTTGAAATACAACTAGCACAAAAAGAAGTTTCGACTATCAAAGTTGAGACCTCTCATTTCCTATTCAACGAAAATGACGAAGATCAATCACGAAAAAGACGAGGAATAATGTCAAAACTAGCCGCCATCGCAGGAATCGGACTTTTCGGACCAGGAATCTTCATGGACGATTCATCAAGTTGCGGACTATTGGGAATCTTTGGCACTTGTCAAGACAACAGCCGCGCCAATGCACAGAACATCAAGGAACTACATGAGTTCACTACTCGACTGACAGACCACGTAGTCGAATTTGAAGAACAGGTCAATGAAAAATTCTTTCTGGTTGCTGACAAACTCGCGGAAGTTAATGCCATCCAGCAGGAAATGATCCAAAATCAGCAGGAAAATTGGAAAGTGATCGAAGACCAGTTTAAGGTCATACAGCACAACTTCGAAATCTTGCGCGATTGTGATCAGTACCTGTTCTCGAATCAACAATTGAATTTCAATTTTGATACTGCAGCCTCTCTCCTCTCTCTTCTGTACTCAGATGTCAAGAGTTACAGGGCAGCGCTGTACGCTTTTAAGACGAACATTATGAATGCCATCCCTACACTTTTAGACAAGAGACTCACGATGTCATTGGTCCCCAGAGACTCTCTGATAGCAATCCTGAATTCAGTTTACGACAGCCAAAAAGACGCAACGGACAGACTGACTCTAGCCATCCCAACAACCGAGCTTCACTCGTACTATGACGCAAAACTGCTTCGAGATGTTGTAACAGTTGATGAAGGCCTGCTAATGACACTAGCGATACCGATGTCGTCCAGTCTAACTGTCTTTTCGGTTTATCGAGCTCATTTAATCCCGATGCCACAGCCGGGACAGAAGGATGCAATCAGATGGAAGACCGAGGGAGACTACTTCGCAGTCTCTGAGAACGGAATGGAAACCTCAGTGCTCACACGAGAGCAGTATGAGAAATGCCTCGGTTCATCAAGGTATAGGATCTGTCATCAAACCATGCAGACACAGATGAGCAGATCCTCTTGTCTATCTAACTTATTCTGGCCAAACCCTGTAGCAGCCTTGACGGTCTGTGAGACGGAAAAAGTCATTCTGCCTACGCCGGAACGAGCCACGAATTTGGGATACGGTATCTGGCTAATCACATCAGCCTCTTCGTCATTCTCTTTGTGGGAGTACAACCTGCATGAGGTTCATACTCCATCCCGCAGAGAGCATTCAGGATGCAACATTTGCATCATTACTTTGGATTGCAGGACGCAATTAACAACTAGAAATATCAAGATCAGACCAGATCTGGAAAGTTGTGACAAAATTCCAGCAAGACGAATCAATGTCACACTGTCTGATCCATTGGAACACCTACTCTCTACAATTCCGGAAATTAATGAGTTACCATACTTCGAATCAAAAACGGACGCCGGAATTAGACTTTTGGAACAAGTGAAAATAAAACTTATTGACAGCCCAATAGTCACGAACATGGAACAATTGGACGAGATTTCAAAACCAATCGCCGACGGAATGAAACTTTTGAAACCAACCTTAACAGAGAAACTCGAAAGCTATGTACCAATAAAACTTTCACTGACACTGACCGTCATAGTTTTCATCGGAAGCACACTACTCCAGTGTTTGTGCACTTATCTTTTTCATCGATTCAAAGCAGTTCGAGACATAACCCCACAATTTCTAAAGACCGCTTATGGAGATATACGAATAAAGCCAGTAGTCGCAATGGACATTGATGAACGCGACAGAGATGAAAAAACAGCTAGACTTATGGAAACACGAGCGGAATGGCAGAATAAATACACGATTCTAGACGTAATTGACGACACGATTGCAGTACCACAACATCACAGACAGATGGAGGATGCAGTACTAAACGACGAGACACTATCAATGCAGGGAAGCAGAATAGACATGAATAGAACGAGATCAATGGGCGAAATCTCAACGACATCACACCAAGGAAAGACTTCACGAAACTACAGCGGAGGAATGAAACTGACTCCTAATACAGGAATCTTTCTATCCAAATAGGAGCTCAATACAACGAGGAGACGACCTGAAGTATAGGAAGACTGAGATGCGAATAAGTTGCCATTTCATCTTTCATTACTGACACTGATTATATCATTTAATTCACCATGACGTTCCCAAACATTGATTCTATGACTCAAGTGGTGGCTTAATTGTAACCTGAATCTCATAAGTGCTAGCAGCACTATTTATTTTCCCTGAACTCAAGTTCTAATTTAAACTTACCTGTTTAACCTTAATTTTATACATTTGTGACGTTAAAATTTCTTTAATACACAATTCGTGTATGTAAATTTGATAACAGAACCAATCCATTTGATTGTATATAGTTTAAAACCTTTATTTTATGCACATTTGGTGTACATCAACCAGCTTTAACCCTGTGCCTAACCTAATTTAAAGCCGGTTTAGTTTGTTATTTACCCATTTATAAAAGTAAATTTATAGAAAATTTATTGAGTTAAATTGATTTAAAATTATTGAAATTGAATTATACCGTATAACTTTTAATTCGTTCCTAAAATTTATTATGCTTTTAACATTGCAGTTTCCCTTTGAAATGCAACTAAATGAAATTACTACAGTTTGAAGTTAGAAACTCACCAAATTTTATGTAGATACTGTATTTAAATTGTAACCCCGATGCTAATAACAGTCGCCAGGAAATAATTCGACAGTGTAAGTGTAGCGTACCCATAAATGGTACGCTATTGATAGCCATGAAATAAGTGCTATATTAGAAATTGATGTCATAAATTATTAATGTTAAAATCCCAAGCATGCAGTTGAACAAGTTAGTGTTTATTAAAGTAAATAGTGAGTTATTAGTTGGGACATATTATTGAATATCGAGCTAGCTGAAAGTAATAAAGTTTACTAACCAAAGTTAAATTCAAACAGCTGAGAAAGTGATAGAGATAGAATCCATGCTGTCGGGGCCCATGCGTCCGTATTGAGATACTGCTAAATCAACTCCAGTTAATAACATGCAATAACATCTAGAAACCATGCGGGTTAATTAATAAAAGCAGTGCATTACAATCGGGCAGACGCGGATTTAGGGGGGGGGGGGGGCGGAAACCTCCTCCTCTCAGGGATTCGACCCCCTGCCGACCCAAAGGGTCCCCCTTGGGTAACTTTTAAGAAATCCATTTTTGGCCGACCGACCCTAAAATTTTTTAAAGGCGCCTTTAGCGCCAATATATACTAACTTTGAGGGGGAGCGCGCGCCAAAAAAAATTTCCAAAAAGTGCCCAAAAAGGGTTTTGGCCGACCTAAAAAAATCTACCCCCCCCCCCCTTCGAGAAAATCCTAGATCCGCCCCTGGTATCGGGACAGACTTTGGAAATCGCTCGTACTTGGAGTACTTGTCTTTTTATTCCTTTGTCGATGTACCATTAGGTCTTTCGATTCATTCAAGTGAGCCGCTGGTATTGACTGTCAAATGAGTTTGTCTGAGAGGGACTGAGGTCAATGAGGTTGGCTATGGGAAGGATGTGACATTCTGTATGTAAGATGTCAATGCTTCTTTTAGTCATTCTTCGCACTAAGCTTTTTTCGACACAAACTTTTTGTTAAAATTTCTCATACGAGCTCGAATTATGAGTGGAAGGGCTTCATTATGATGTATCGCATGACTTAACCAAAGAAAACACTAGGCTACTAAACTTCTTCTCCGTGCGTAGTTGATACAATAAAGACGATGCCTTTTACTTTCTTACGATGCCTTTACTTTCAAAAGAACTTTCAATCGCTATAATTTTACGCCATCCAAATTTACGTTACACCTTACGTTTCACTATGGGCACCAGAATTGACAATATTTTGGGTGAAAACATCTAGAAAAGTCTCCTACCTTCGGAAATTCTACATCCTTACCTAACTGAGTAAAGTAAACTTCAAAATTATATCAAAAAAGCTATCAAAGCAATGTTTTTTAGATGAACCAACAACTGGACTGGACGCTAGCACTTCGCTCACAGTCATGAAAATCCTGAGACGACTGGCCAGTCATGGTGGGAGAACTATCATATTCAGTGTGCACCAGCCTCGCTTCTCCATCTTTAAACAGTTTGATTGCCTTCACCTCCTATCAGCACATGGACAAACAGTCTATCATGGTGCAGTTTCAAATGTCATTGACTACTTCAGCAACATTGACCTCAAATGCGAGTCATTCAACAACCCCGCTGACTTCTTTCTCGACTGTGTGCTCAAACACAATAGCACAAGATTTGCTGAAAAGGAGTTAGATAACGGGAAGAAAGGTAACGTAAACGACAGTGAAGCAGGAGTTACGAAAGAGCAAGAAGAATTCTTCGATATTGCTGAAAATGACAAGATGGACTTGGCTTCTTTGTTTCAAAAGTCATCTGAAAACCAGAATCTACTGCAAGATTGCTCCAAAATTTGCCCGACAGACGACTCTGTGTCCAAACCTGAGAGTTTCAAAGTAAGCTACGCTTCGACTTGGTTCGAACAATTCTTCTACCTTTCGAAGCGCTCCTTTATCAACTACACTCGCAACCCAGCGATAAGCTTTATTGAACTTTCTATGATGGCCTTTCTCGCCCTGTTCTGTGGGATATTTTTCTGGGACATTGAGCACGATCAGAATGGCTTTCAAAACATATACGGAGCGCTTTTCTTCATGACGGCTCAAATGATGTGGACCAACTTATCAAGCATCGAGACATTCATCCAGGATCGGAACTTGTTTCTCCATGAACTCGCGAACGGATACTACAGGCCATCGTCATTCTTCTTCGGAAAACTTGCCACTGACCTTTTCCCCCGGCGCCTCTTTCCTACTATTATTTTTGTCAGTATTTTCTATTGGATGTGCGGAATGGAGCCTGATATCGATAAATTTTTCTTCGCCTTGTTGGTATGCACGCTCGCAACAATGGCAGGTTGCGGCGTGGCATTCTTCTTTGGCGTTCTGGTAGGGAACTTTGCCATTGCGAGCTCACTTGTCACCCTTTTCTACATAACATTCATGATTTTCGGGGGTCTAATGATGAATGTTGAGGACATGAAGCCCTGGATTAGCTGGTTGCAATGGATCAGCATCACCCGGCACAGCCTTGGCCCTATGACAGCATCACAAACCGAAAACTTGGAGTTTTGTGGAACCAGGACATTTGAGTTGAACAACAACACGTACAAGAGCCAGTACACGTGCGAGAATGGGGTTGACATTCTTAAACAGCAAGGTATTGGCCATGACGCCGAAGATCTATGGCTCAGCGTGGTGATTCTTTTCATCATTATAGTAGTAACTTTCTCAGCTACTTTCACAAAAATTATCTTCACGAAGAAGCAGAAATGAGCAAAACAGTATGCGCAAAATTTTCACTTCTTATAATTATTAGTCAACCCAATTTTGAACCATCAAGCAAAAAATAAAATTGATTTGAAAAAAATGTATGTATATATGCAAAATGAATAAATTCTCAAATTTTTTGTTTCTTGGGCCATTCGCCGTAAATTAATGGTAGAAAATCGGCGATGAGAAATAAAACAGAGTTAGGTACAATGACAATGGAATTTTCAAACAACCTTGCGGAGGAGCAAAATAATCAATTAGACGCTCCAACTTCAAGTGTTTTGAAGGGTCCAGAAATATCGAATGAAAATTTTAATCGAGAAAGGGCAGAACAACAAATTAAGAGTCGTATGAAACGAGAAAGTGTCTGAAAAAATTAATTGGAATCGGCACTGCGCAGCGGAACGCAGCATTGCAAGCTAGAGACTAAAGATGAGACGGAAATTACGAAGTTGCATGGAAAAAATTGAAAAAAAATGATCGTTTTTTTTGTAACAGGCTATACTCAATTTCAGAAAAACTATCAAATGTGCCAGTCGGTCAAATTTGGAAGTTTGACCTTGAGCTGAACGTTTAATCTCAATTTTGGGGAGAATAAATTTTTCAAAATTTCGAATCGAACCTGTCATGCTCAAGTTTCTCGTGACAACTGAAAATGCTAAAAGAAATCAATCAGAAGAATCGAGTAATAATTGCAGGAAATTTGCTGAAATATAGTAGAGTAAAATTGCTATTAGCAATTTTACCATTAATCAAACGAGAGTAGAGATGTCTTGTTCCTGGCGGAGAATCGAGAGTGACAGATATCAGATAGAGAAAGGGATCGAGTGGACCAGAGTGAACCTTGAGTGGAAAAGTGGACAGCTGAAGCTGCCCAATGGTCCAGATAGAAAACTTGTTTCCTGAGCTAAAACTTATTTATTTCAAATTTTCTGAGTCAAACTTAATTACCAAATCAATTCTAGAGTTGCTTTACAATTTAGTTACTCAATTCTAGAGGTCGTGTCGGTATGTATTTACCCATTTACATTTTTTGAGTGTGTTTTAAATTGTTATGTTGAGTTAGGGACAGTTTTTAGGTTGATCCATCCGAAATGGATCAAAGGTCTACTGTCCAATAAAAACTAACGGTATACGTAAGGTTCCGACCCTGTTTTTAACGGCGTTCGTGTGTTTTAGGTATTTTGAGACCTGAGCATGGGGGCGTTCTTATTTCTAGAGTGGGGGTATTTTCGCAGTAACCAATTGACGACTGTTTAACGTCAGTAACCTTAATTCTACTCGTTTTTAACCGTCTAGTCCTAGCCAGTTTTTTTTGGTCTGTTAAGGGCAAAGTAAAAAAATTACCATTTTTAGGCTATCAGCCAAATTATTTTAAATCAGCTTTCGTTTACATGCGAAAATAACCACATAGCTGTGTCTTGGATCCCCAGACTATGAGATTACTATTAGAAACACGGCTAGAAAACCATAATTTAATTTTTTTAGCGACAGTTATATACTAAATCAATTGGAGATGGATTGACTCTTTCCTCGTCTCTAACTACTCATGCTCTGGAATACTTTACAAAATTGGAGTTAATTAAATCTAAAACGTCTATTTAATGTCTCTAACTGTCTCTGGGCACCGCGCCTCTAATTCCGTGTTCTCCCGGAGATAACGTCGTTATCTCTCCGATTTTGTGGCACGGGAGGGTTCGGATCCGTTCCGGATGTCCCATTGGACCTTCCTTTCGTTCAATCTTCTTCAGATAAGCGCCTTATCGTGTCTTGCTGCCATGACAGAGGCTTCGTTTCTTTCTTAATTTCTTCCGATTGATTTCAGTCTCGTAAATTCGGCTGTGTCGTTGTTGTCTGTTTTTCTATTTTTTGGTCGGAATGGCCGTTTTTCGCATTTCCCAGAAATGTTCCAGTTCAAATCGAAATTTGAATTCTAGAACATTTGAATTCTAGAAAATTTTGAATGTTAGAACATTCTGAGCCTCCTTTTCATTAGATTTCCGGTGCTAACTAATTAAGTTTTTTCTTGCGTGCATCGGCGGTTTCGACTGTGCCAATCCGGGGGAATGACCCAAAAATCAAGTTACGACTGTGAGTTATTGTAGAAATCAATTTAGAAAAAAAAACCTGCTTTGGTTATTAAGCAGAAAAAAATCACTAGCAATCAATTAACTCTTACTATCGTTTATCGGGCGGCTACCCAGCCGACAAAACTTAGTTGTAAACCCTCACTGAGTCGGAAAAAAAAACTAAGAAAAAATACCAAATAAAATACCATCAGCCATTTTGTTGCGATAAACTTATTATCTGGTAGGGAACTTTGCCATTGCGAGCTCACTTGTCACCCTTTTCTACATAACATTCATGATTTTCGGGGGTCTAATGATGAATGTTGAGGACATGAAGCCCTGGATTAGCTGGTTGCAATGGATCAGCATCACCCGGCACAGCCTTGGCCCTATGACAGCATCACAAACCGAAAACTTGGAGTTTTGTGGAACCAGGACATTTGAGTTGAACAACAACACGTACAAGAGCCAGTACACGTGCGAGAATGGGGTTGACATTCTTAAACAGCAAGGTATTGGCCATGACGCCGAAGATCTATGGCTCAGCGTGGTGATTCTTTTCATCATTATAGTAGTAACTTTCTCAGCTACTTTCACAAAAATTATCTTCACGAAGAAGCAGAAATGAGCAAAACAGTATGCGCAAAATTTTCACTTCTTATAATTATTAGTCAACCCAATTTTGAACCATCAAGCAAAAAATAAAATTGATTTGAAAAAAATGTATGTATATATGCAAAATGAATAAATTCTCAAATTTTTTGTTTCTTGGGCCATTCGCCGTAAATTAATGGTAGAAAATCGGCGATGAGAAATAAAACAGAGTTAGGTACAATGACAATGGAATTTTCAAACAACCTTGCGGAGGAGCAAAATAATCAATTAGACGCTCCAACTTCAAGTGTTTTGAAGGGTCCAGAAATATCGAATGAAAATTTTAATCGAGAAAGGGCAGAACAACAAATTAAGAGTCGTATGAAACGAGAAAGTGTCTGAAAAAATTAATTGGAATCGGCACTGCGCAGCGGAACGCAGCATTGCAAGCTAGAGACTAAAGATGAGACGGAAATTACGAAGTTGCATGGAAAAAATTGAAAAAAAATGATCGTTTTTTTTGTAACAGGCTATACTCAATTTCAGAAAAACTATCAAATGTGCCAGTCGGTCAAATTTGGAAGTTTGACCTTGAGCTGAACGTTTAATCTCAATTTTGGGGAGAATAAATTTTTCAAAATTTCGAATCGAACCTGTCATGCTCAAGTTTCTCGTGACAACTGAAAATGCTAAAAGAAATCAATCAGAAGAATCGAGTAATAATTGCAGGAAATTTGCTGAAATATAGTAGAGTAAAATTGCTATTAGCAATTTTACCATTAATCAAACGAGAGTAGAGATGTCTTGTTCCTGGCGGAGAATCGAGAGTGACAGATATCAGATAGAGAAAGGGATCGAGTGGACCAGAGTGAACCTTGAGTGGAAAAGTGGACAGCTGAAGCTGCCCAATGGTCCAGATAGAAAACTTGTTTCCTGAGCTAAAACTTATTTATTTCAAATTTTCTGAGTCAAACTTAATTACCAAATCAATTCTAGAGTTGCTTTACAATTTAGTTACTCAATTCTAGAGGTCGTGTCGGTATGTATTTACCCATTTACATTTTTTGAGTGTGTTTTAAATTGTTATGTTGAGTTAGGGACAGTTTTTAGGTTGATCCATCCGAAATGGATCAAAGGTCTACTGTCCAATAAAAACTAACGGTATACGTAAGGTTCCGACCCTGTTTTTAACGGCGTTCGTGTGTTTTAGGTATTTTGAGACCTGAGCATGGGGGCGTTCTTATTTCTAGAGTGGGGGTATTTTCGCAGTAACCAATTGACGACTGTTTAACGTCAGTAACCTTAATTCTACTCGTTTTTAACCGTCTAGTCCTAGCCAGTTTTTTTGGTCTGTTAAGGGCAAAGTAAAAAAATTACCATTTTTAGGCTATCAGCCAAATTATTTTAAATCAGCTTTCGTTTACATGCGAAAATAACCACATAGCTGTGTCTTGGATCCCCAGACTATGAGATTACTATTAGAAACACGGCTAGAAAACCATAATTTAATTTTTTTAGCGACAGTTATATACTAAATCAATTGGAGATGGATTGACTCTTTCCTCGTCTCTAACTACTCATGCTCTGGAATACTTTACAAAATTGGAGTTAATTAAATCTAAAACGTCTATTTAATGTCTCTAACTGTCTCTGGGCACCGCGCCTCTAATTCCGTGTTCTCCCGGAGATAACGTCGTTATCTCTCCGATTTTGTGGCACGGGAGGGTTCGGATCCGTTCCGGATGTCCCATTGGACCTTCCTTTCGTTCAATCTTCTTCAGATAAGCGCCTTATCGTGTCTTGCTGCCATGACAGAGGCTTCGTTTCTTTCTTAATTTCTTCCGATTGATTTCAGTCTCGTAAATTCGGCTGTGTCGTTGTTGTCTGTTTTTCTATTTTTTGGTCGGAATGGCCGTTTTTCGCATTTCCCAGAAATGTTCCAGTTCAAATCGAAATTTGAATTCTAGAACATTTGAATTCTAGAAAATTTTGAATGTTAGAACATTCTGAGCCTCCTTTTCATTAGATTTCCGGTGCTAACTAATTAAGTTTTTTCTTGCGTGCATCGGCGGTTTCGACTGTGCCAATCCGGGGGAATGACCCAAAAATCAAGTTACGACTGTGAGTTATTGTAGAAATCAATTTAGAAAAAAAAACCTGCTTTGGTTATTAAGCAGAAAAAAATCACTAGCAATCAATTAACTCTTACTATCGTTTATCGGGCGGCTACCCAGCCGACAAAACTTAGTTGTAAACCCTCACTGAGTCGGAAAAAAAAACTAAGAAAAAATACCAAATAAAATACCATCAGCCATTTTGTTGCGATAAACTTATTAATTATACTCGCCTGTTTCACAAATCATTATAGATGATTCGTGGTGCGCCGGTAGAGCATTTGTATTCTCGGGGTTTTCAGAAAACGCGGCAAACGGCATGACAAAGTATCGTATACTATTTGGAAAAGTGATTATTGGACTGGCCCATATCGACATCTCCCATCGACAACTAGCTCGAATCAACATATTCCAGGTTGTAGTTCTTTCATGATTACAATCATTTTTATTAAACGACCCTTCAGTTCATTCAGTGGATCTGCGTTGTTACATCTTGTTCAAATTATACCAATGATACAGTTCACTGATTACGAACTTCCATCGAATGCTGACACAATTGCATTTGAAACCTCAATGACAAAACACATGCATAGGGAGAGCATACATTCAGAAGTTTGCTCATATCACAACGCAACAGTTAACAATTTAATCAATATAGTACTCCAATATCTACCATTTGACCATTCATTTATAAATTTTGATCGCCGGTTTCAACGATCATCGTCGTCGAGTACCTGCATATTTTGCATATTTCAATAACTACAAAATTTAATTGATCTGATAATTTTTAAATTCAATACCGCCACCATAATAACTCTTAAAAACCGTCCATCGACTATCGCTCCTGTAAACAGGAATTTTTTGCAGCTAAATTCTGCAGTACATAATCCATTGAGTTGACACTTCTCTAGCCCAATTAATGGTTCACGAAATTTGTGTCTATCCAATAAAACTTACAGCCGAGATGGCATTCATTTTTCATCCTTTGAAAATTACACATTTACCTGTAAACTATGTGATGATATTTTGATGTATTCCCCTTAAAACCACAGCTCCCCACAATTCGACAAACATTTCGCCACAAACGCAATACTCAAAATGTTCTAACCACCTACGAGGTGGGTGCATTAGGTGCTACAAATGCGGAGCGTTTATGGATTTCAAATGCAGTGGCTTATCCTCCAGCGAAGATTACTACAATGGTTTCACATGCAAAGCATGCTTGAATACTAAACCGCACAAACGAAGCAGACCAACCGATGAACCAGCTACCCATGTGAATGAAGAGGAAAATGCGAGCTTCTGGTCATGCAGCCTTCCAGGAACGCATGCCGCTGAACTACAAGAAATCCACCAGAAAGCAGTCCATTGGAAATCAATCTTATTTATTCTGAGTAAAAATAAGACTCTTTACAAGTTAGTTAACACACTCAATAACCTACTATCGGTAACCGCTACGCTTGACACGCGTGCAGAAAAAGCTCTTATGGCATCAATGCCATATCTGACTCTAGCTCGTACAAAAACGGAGACGATGGCTCCAACCATAAAACCATCGATCGAAGACTAGACATGTGGAACAAATAAACGTTTGAATCATTGCTACAGGAGCGACAGCGATACATGAAAATCGCAAAAATCTGTAAAAAGAGAACAAAATGAATTCAAAGAATTTGACAAGCACTTGGGTGCTGATAAAATATCAAATGCATTAAGATGCTTGAACGATGAATCAATTAGAGGAATACTCCATCGTGATGAAAAAACTGGAACCAAAACTGTTCTACAAGTGGAACATGACAATCATCCAAAACCAGTAAAGGCAGACGCTAATTGTATTTTTAATGGCACCTCCAGCATTAAAAATCATTCACAAATCATCATTCAATATTCGACAAACTTAATGGCCTTAAAATACGCAAAGCCGCAATGAAAACATATGGAAGTCACGTCCCATCAGCATTAGATGCAATTCAATGGAGACAAATTTTAACGAGCTGTAACATTCGTCTACTGCAGTCACACATGAGGCTTAAGAAAAATAGGCCCTATAACCATTGGCTCAAGAGTCAGGGACACTATCTCTTGTGTTTTTGTACCTCAAATCAGTCGGAGCCAATTCGGTTCGCTTGTGACATGAGACTACGACCCGTTACAGCTTAAAGGCTACTACTAAAATATCCCCCCACTCTAGAATTAGAAACGTCCCCATACTTAGGTCTCTAGATACCCAAAATACATGAACGCCGTTAAAAACCGGGTCGGAACAATCCGTTAAGTTACTTTTTATTAGACAGTGGAACTTTGATCCATTTCAGATGGATCAACCTAAAACTCGCCTTACCTCAACATACCAATTATAAAACACACTCTAGAAATTTAAATTAGTACTCACATTGTAGCACGCTCAAGAACCAGGAAGTAAATAAGTCGGTGAGCAACTCAAGAATCAATAAAGTAACTAAAATGAGTTTAATGTTAGTCAGTTTTAATAACAAGAACAAGTTTTTACTCTAGACTGTAAATTCTCGTGAACCATTGGGACACTCTAGCTGTCCACCTTTCCACCGAAGGTTCACTCTGGTCCAGTTAATAATAGTACTCCAATCACAACAATCCAGTTCGTGGGAATGCGCTCGTCTCTGTTTTAGATGGGACAGCTCTACTCTCGATTATTATTGCTACTGAAATTGCGAATAGCAATTTCCCACTGATTTTTCTAGCAACTTTCCCGCGATTGTCACTCGATCGTTCTGACTTCTCTTTTCTGATTTTCAGTTATCGCGAGAAAATCGTGCATGACAGGTTCCATTCGAAATTTTGAAATATTAAATTTCACTCCAAAATCAAGTGCTTTTTGCTTCTCTCAAGGTCAAACTTCCAAATATGACCGACTGGCACATACTCCCCGGACTTGAGA